CAGTGCATCAATGCCAATGGAGCAGCATGAATGAATGATCCGTTACGAATTTTCGCCGGTCTCAAAAACGGAAGTGCGTGTCCGAGTGTGGACGGACGCACGGCCACTTACGAGTGTTGCAAAGCTTTAAGCGACCATCAGCGGCTTGGCAGCGGCTTCGATGAAAGCGATACCCAGCTGGGGCTAGGAACACCGTCTACGAGGTTACCGGGCCGAGTTCTAAGTGAAGCCTCACAGTGCCGCCGGTCAATTCGTAAAATCGCTTTATCGCACACGCATGGTGACAAGCAAAGCACCTTCCCGCGCTTTGCAAAAAAACGTTATTGTCAAGTACAGTCCTCCGTCGATCCATCGGTAGATGAAGGCTTCTCCCATTGCCGTGTCGATCATTGGGTTAGGTTATTTGACCGTACTTCACCATGCTGGTCAATGCGGGTTTGTGAAAGGGGGGGGGGGGAAGAGGTCCGGGACTGATTTATGAAAACGATTTTCTTTAGAACTGATTTTTGTGTTTCATTTGTAGTTCTTCCCCCGCACCTTCGACCAGCTTAGTTGGCTTTGTACGGTGCGAAAAACGTTCAACATCCATACATATCAAACACCACTGGTGGTTAGCCATGGTCAAGGCAATTGAACGCAGGCCAGTGGGTTTATGGTGGAGCCTGCTGACCACTACACAACTAAGAGGGGGACCCAAGAAAGACTTGCCCGTTCAGAATGAAGCAGGCTGGACAGACTTAAAACCACAAGTCGACCGATCCCGTGAGGTTGATGACCAGTCGACGTGGAGGGAGATCAAAACCAGAGCCACCATCACGGTGCGTCAAATCGCCCGGTCACGCGAGATGGATGGAGAGAGATGGATGGGAACAGGCCAAGGATCCACCATGATAACGTGTAATAACATTGCCTACAGTCTCAACCCAGGAATGAATTCTCAGCCGAGTCTGTCCAGCGTCGGTAACCCGTGAAATATTTCTGCACAGGGCACACAACCTCCAGTATACCTTTCTCGCTTCGGCTGTGTGCTACTTAAGTCACGTGTCACTTACTCCGGTCCATCGGCGACCCAGACAATATTCAGCGCAAAATGAATCCCCATCTCAACAAATTGCTTTCGTCTATATCTGGTCTCACGGGGCACTGTGCGACACCAGTGAATCAAATACCAAAGTGCCGATACCAATCGCCACCCAAGGTGGCAAATGGCCAAACGTAACTTAATTTTGTGAAGGCCCTCTCCGCTTCCTGGGGCTTACATAACTCGCAGCACCGCGCAACAGAAGCGCTAAAGCCCAAGCGACACAATGGCACTGCTGTGCTCTGCCTGGCCAAGCGAAGCCAAGCAATGTGCGTTGGGCATCTGCCCCCACCCCGTAATGCAGTGAATCAGCGCAGATCTGTTTCACTGTTGCCACTGTTGTTACCCCCAAGCAGCAGAATTGCATTTAAAAAAAAACACATTAAGTGTAAATCTCCCTTAACTGACACGGATTTAAGCAGGAGCGGAGGCAATTTTGCAACCGAGTTGTTCAATGCGACAGACCTCAGGCCTTCCGGCGCCGAGCTGCTGTAGCGTACGGTGCCGATGTGGCGATGCTTTTTTTAAAAAAAAAACCTCCCCGATACCAACGTGTTCGAATGTCTAGCTAGACCGTTACGTGCGCTCATCAAACAGAATCAGAATATTTATTTATACTGGAAGAATCCGATGAGCTATAAAGCTCTTTTTTTAAAAATGTCCAAATCAGGGCGGGTAAGAACGTTACAACAACAAACAGTATACAACACGTGATAGGAGTGCAAAGTACAAGAAAGGTAAAAAAAAATCACCCAACACAAACAAATACAACAACTAAACCATCCCCATCCTAACAGACAAAGCCTATTGAGGTATTAATTTATTGTTCAAAAGCGACCTGGCCACAAAATATAGCTCAACAACAAAGTGGCTTACCATGTGGACACTTATATCAGCAAAATAACCTACATAGTCTGAATGCATGTTTCTAAATGTGGAGGGAGAAACTGGAGGACCCGAATAAAAAATCCACGCGACCACGGGGGTAACATGCAAACTCCAAATATAAAAGCGCCAGGGTCGAGATCGAACCCCTGACCTCCTGTATACCAGGAGAGGTAGTTGACATCTCACCACCATGCCGCTCCTTAAATAAATAAATAAACGATACGAGTTCAAAGTGCATCACCAATTCCCAAGCTTCGGAAAGGCAGTAAACAACAGCAAAACAGTCCCAGACCACACCAAGCCAACAGCCAGTCACTTAATAAGAATTCTACGTCAAAGTTCAACTCAACACATTAAGGATCACATTTACACATCATATTTGCAAATGTCGCTGTTTCCAACACTAATCGTCTTCTGCTTCAGAATATTTTTCGAAGGAAGATTTATGATGTTACGCGAGGCATCGTTGCTCAGCCCTCCACCCTCCCCTTCTCCTATTGGTCTGCTCAATTCCTCCTTTCGGGCTATGCTCCTCTCCAAAAAACCAAGCTGTTTGGGTGATTCCCCTTTCTACGGTCCATCAATGTCACTGCCCTCGAGAGGAAAGCAATATTCAACGGGGGGGGGGGGGGGGGGCATTTCGGGCGAAGGCCCTTCTGCTATGAAGAAGGACCACTGCCAAAACCATCTCCGGTTAGAAAATCCATCCTCTTTCTACATTACAGGCGAAGTTCCAAGCAGTGGCCCTTCTACCCCCTAAACCTTGCAGAGAATTATTCAAAGCTTCCTCGATAACAAGACGCACCGTCAACTGGCAGTACGGCGGACTGTCACGACTCCCACAACAGAGGCGACTGCACAATGCCCGGATAATTGGCGGTCGCTTCCCTTCGCGACGCTTACGGAAAGTGACACCGGGTTAGTTCAGCGCATTAAAGCAGGCGAAAGGGGCGGCCGAACAGGGGCCTCCGTTGCCTTGTGGAAACCAGAATGTCATGCTGCGGCTAACGGAATACTTACAGATCCCGAAAACCTCAGACCACACTGGAACAGTGGGAGCCTTTCTTTCAAAGCAGGGTCCATTTCGAGGCGGGGGACACAAGTCTCCAATGTAAGCAGAGTGCATTTCTGCGACTGCTGCTGCATATAAAAATGCACCGCCAAGAAACGTTTTGGCTGAGGCTCTCAAATGATGCCTACTCACACGAACCTAGTTATAGTTCTAACTGCACATGAACATGTACAGCCCTTTGTTATCCATTGCTGCATGAAGGTCAACCCCCCCCCCATACAGTACAGATGATGGGGGTTGTTTTACTATGCTATACTTCACCGCACTGGTCAGGACCGGTTCCAATATCACTCTCCACTCATGATAGCCCTGGCTGGGATCGATCTCAGGTCGCCAGGCTTACGAACGTAAATATTACAACCACCACGCAATTTTAAATAACAATGAAAAACAAAATCAAATTGAAGGGCATATTTGGTCAAATGAGCATACAGTGCCACTCTCCATTTAAACCAGCAGCAGAAATTCCATGTTCGCAAGATAGGAGCCAGTTTATTCACAAAGCACAGCCACTGTTGACTTTCTGTAAAGTGGTACTCGTTTTATCAACCAAAGAAGGATGATGGGCCAAGTCGACCCCTGATTGCCATTTCAACGGGCAAACTTCTCTTTGCGAGTCTGAACACTGAACTTGGGCAGAGAAAAGGTAACAAAATGACATAATTTGTTGCAGATGAGAACAATTGTACGGCTTAGTACGCATTGGATACATGTGGGAGTTAAGACAATGAAACGACAGCCCTTCATTTTGGAAACGTGTCAGCAAAAATGTACTCAGTGTCTGCTGAGATTAAGCACACAATTTAAGAGAAAAAAAATACACGTCTCGAAGACAATCCCGCTGGGAGAGACGCTGATAATTTTGCACGGAAAAAAATATTCTCGACGGCGCAGATTTGGTCTGGGTGCAGAAACCATTGGATTTATCATGACAACAAGTGTCCGCACGCCTGGACAAAACGCTGCTCTCTTCTGGCCGTGTTAACTTGAGAATAACCACTACGACCAGAACAACTTTAAATAAACCACAGCTGTCCCTCCGTTTATAAAACAGGGATGCTTACAGTTTGGACTATATTCAAAGTGCAACAATGGAAACATTGTTCCTGATTAATTTGCCTCAATTTTCTACCCCCCTCCCGCCCCATTAGTGATGCATATGGTGTCCAAACGATAATGTAAAAAAAAAACATTACTGACTGTGTGAAACCATTAGCCAATGACTTATTGCTACAAACGCTCAGTAAAGAAAACATTATGGATTAATAAACACAGGCAGGCTCATAAATAAATCACACCCCGACATATATGGCAATTCCTCGTTTAACGCTGAAGTAGATACGCTCCTGAAAAGTGCCGCATGGAGTGAAAGCCGCGTTAAGCGAGGAACCGCTGTACTGCACCGAACCACATTCGCACTCGAAAAATCAGCCTGCAGTCATTCCATGGCAGGAACTGGGATGACAGTAGGCCACAAGTACGGTGTCATTCCGCGTGCTGTATTACACCGCTCAGCCGCGCAGCTCAAGAAAGTGGTGGTCCGTCGTCGAAAGAAACGGCGTTATAACGGTGCGCGCGCATTCCTTGTTCTGCGAAAAACGTTCCCTCGCAGAAGAACCGCGCTGTAGCGGAAACGCGTTGCGGTGTGAACACCGCCACGCGTTAATCCAGGACTTGCCTGTACAACTCACACCGGTAACAAGGAGGCCATTTCCTGTTTTCTATGATCGTGGAAGCAAATTCACCTGGATCAATGATTAGTGGGTGGGGGGGGGGTCACCGTGCGTCCTGTCCAAGTCTAAATAATATTTCTAAGCAGAGCACTGCCGACAGCAGCGTTTGTTTTTCTTGAAAGTGAAACTGTACGGCACGCTAATGTCCACCGCGTAGTCGTTTCGCTTGCCGCGCCACGGTAGACAGATGTTCAGACAAAGCAAGAATACATAATTAAAACCTTACCTCGACGATCGCTGGTGGTGGCGGTGGATCTTTAATGACCTAGAAGAAAATAAAAATCAAGAGTTTAGAAATATTGCTACATGGCTGTTTAGAGCACGATCTCCACAAATGTCTCGGTTAAACAAACACGACGGCTGAATGACCACCGTCGCTGCCAAAACGCTAATTTACAAAAACAAACAGCACAAGCCGCAGCATTTGGCAGGCAAAACGTCATTAATCTTGCGCGATAGCTCAGCGCCCTCTGACCAATGTATACCGACGGTGAGACACAATCGGACAAGGAGTTTAGAGCCATGCGGGCCGTACAGAGGCGAAAACGATGCATCGATAAAAACAGTCTGCGAAAGCAATCGATGCGAGGCATTTCCTGCCAGCTATTCATGGTTACAAGAGTCCCCTGCAGCAGTGAGCACAAATCCAGACACCGGTTGAGCCCGAGTTATTGCTATGTCCACAAGCCTCAATAGGTGTTACTCCTGGGAGCTGCTCTATATATATAGCAGCTGTGTTTATAAACACACTGCAGGGTAAACAACCACGCTGCACTACAGTGAAGGCATTGGCCCAGTTCTGCAATAACTTACTTATGCTACTGCTGGTGGATGGGGCCTCCATGGGAGAGACCTCTAGACAGCCCATCGAGAGGGTATTTTGGCTTAGTTTTCACCTATTCCAAGCTGACCAGTAAACTCTGAAGAATCAAAATCCTTGTTTATTATCACAGGAGGAATCCGATGAGCTATAAAGCTCCTTTTCACAGATGTCCGGCAGGTGCACGGTGTCAGAAAGTTTCAACAAAATTTGTGGGGGGGGGGGGGGGAACCTACACTCTACTCTACAACATGCGCCCCCCCCCACCGATCGTCCAAATGTGCGATGCATCCATTTAAACGTCGGGGTGGAAAGAGGCGGTTGGTGGGGGAGCGATTGCGAGCGCAGGGCGCATGTCCGTTACGCCACGGCAGTAGAGCCTGTCATACTCTGGTTCTTTCGGTAAAGTCACGTAGGTAAAGAAAATAAAATAAAAGATAAAAAATAAATTAAATCGCGGCGTTTCGATCGCAACGCAAGCGGTCGTCATCAGGCAAAAGGATGATGACGACTGATGGTGTTGCGATCGAAACGTGGTGATTTAATTTATTTTTTATCTTTTTTTATCTTTTAATTTCTTTACTTCAAATCTAGAATAAACATAGCCTGTCAGTCAATCAAGTGCGGCGCTATACCGGCAATGCCACCTGGGCTGGACTCTGCGATAACAAGGGAGCAGAGCTGGAGGTGGCCGGTTTCAGGGGTTTAGAGCAGCACCCAGGGGTAACCTCGAAAGGGGGGCAAAACGGTGAAAATCAGTAAACAAAAACGGAACAGAACGGATGGGGAAGGGATAATGCAGAAATTGTCAGCTGACCCAAAAAGCAGCACGGGACGGGCGGAAGTGGAGAGCGTTAACAGCTAAGGTATCCTTTGAACGCCGTTACTATCATCTCTGGATTGGTGGGTGTGTCTCATAATCCAGTGTGTGGCCTTTATTGCCAGAAGGGCCACTTCCACCATTACACGTGTGGTTGCGTTAACTTCACTGGTGATCGGTACAGTCAACAACTGTATTGCCACCACACAGCCACTTCTACCATAACTGCACTCTCTCATACCTGTCAACCAAATAAAGTTTACCCCGTATTCTTGTACAGGGAAATTGAGTTGAGGTCCATACCGCGTACAGCCGTTTCAACACGGGCAAAAAAATAATTGTCTTTTTGTTTGTGTTTCTCCCTCGTGATGGGACTTTGTAGGATGAACGTTGCGATTTATAAGGGCACGGGGTGACCAATAAGGTCTGAATTGGTCTGTAATGAGGTAGACACTGATAAGGGGTTGACAGGTTTGCTCTCTGCGTAATGAGACGCACTTTTTCCCAATGTCCACTCCATATTTCTTTATGTTTTACCGACGTGTTTCCTGCTTTTCCTGAACTTGTTTTTATTGACGTTATTTGTATTGGTTTCCTTAAAAAATTAACACAAACTTTGGGTTAATAAAATAAATAGGCAATGTCTCATTTCACATATGTCTCTCTCCACGTAAAAAAAGTATTTGAGTTACACATCCCTTCGGCTGCATGGCCATCTGGGAGCGAATTTTATTGCCATTGCTTTAACGCAGGTAAACCTCCGGACCGGTTTCAACACTCATCGTCTCATCAGTAGTCAGGCTTGCTTAAATCAATAACTGGTAAACTGCCCATCGTCCATGGGCCAATGGCGCCCCTGTTAGATACGAGTCCCAAAGCCTGGCGTGCGGCTTACAGTGTCAGGGGGGCGGCAGCGGGAGTGGGGTGGCGGTCTTATAATCGAGAGAATATGAACGTTAAACAACGAGATTATAAAACATCTATTCAGCGGACCGGGACTCTTACCAAGGTGCAGCACAGCGGCCAAAACCACCAGAAGATGGCCAGGGCCAGCAGGAGAAAGATGATGAGCAAGGCGATAGCCAGAATGGTTCCGTCCGACTGCGGGAATTGAGAAGACGGTTATCAGCTTCGAATGCCAGACATGCAGCGACGCATCACTCGATTAAAACCATTTAGACGCCTGTATATTTGGAGTTTGCCATGTTGTCCCCGTGGCGATGTGGATTTTTCTCCAGTTCCTCCGGCTTTTCCCTCCACATTTATAAATGTGCATTTAGAGTATTTGACTGCAATAAATTTCCACATAAGCCACTTCGTTAAAGCTATCATTTGTGGCCATCTGACTTTGAAAAAGAGCTATATAGCTCAGCGGGGCTTTACCTGGTGAACCAAAAAATTATTTAGTTTAATTTAGTCTGCTCACAATGCACGTACCCGAAATTGTGCATGGGATAATCGTAATTGAAAAATGTGTGCACATTTACTGAAAATCAGCAACACTCAAACATAATTCTGTCGAGATCAGCTCTTAGGAATCTCAAGGCAAAACCAGCAATGTTATTCGAAGCGGTGGCAAAGGAGTCAGCAAGCTGCACGATGTACCACCCAGTGACCCGAGCTACAATCCCAGTCACGGCCACATCACCAGAGACGGATATCTGAAATCGGACCTGGGCCCCTCCCACCTTCATAAACCAGCAATTACCAGTGTGGTGAAGTATGGCTAAACAACCCTCATGACTGATATGGTGCAGGGAGGCATTACTCCGGCAATCGCTGACAAATGGCCATAAATTATGGGTTTTTTGTCTTATCATTTATTAATAATTTCAAACGTTTGAGGCAAAACATCTGACGGGAGGCTACGGACACAATTTCACACAGTCCTGGACAAAGAAAGCAATGGTGGGAAGGGGGGCACAAAGGGAGGCTGACTGAACCACACTGGGGGTGATCCAATGTCTGAACTGTGGCATTCATACAGATATTCAGATGTGCCTCAACCCGGCCATACCAGTCACGACACGCTGCCACCGTTTATTACCGAGAATAGACCTTTGTGTAGTCTCCACACCGCTGTGTAGTGTGCACATATAAAGCCTTGTTGTCACGGTTGAATATGTGCCTCTCCGTGTTATTTGGTTATTTGACTATACTTCACCGAGCTGGTCGGCTCGGGTGTGCAAAGGCGGCGAACAAACATTTGGAGCATGGTACAGTGTTGCAATGGAATTTGCAGAACTGCCCTCTGCTGCTCACAAGGTAATTCCACAACCTATAACACCTGTTAAGCATGGTGGTCTCCCATCCAAATACTATTCGGGTTCAGCTCTGCTTAGGTTCGGAGATCAGGTGCATTTCGGGTAATTTGGTCAAAAACGACATAATCGTTATGAAAGGCAGTACATTTATATTTTTAAAACGACATTATTTTGTCGAATTGGCCATACATCTCAATATAGGACTGATATAAAGGGAGCTTTTGAGGCTCAAGGAGGCCTTCCTGGGTAAATGATTTGAGCTTATTATTCTTATTTAGATTCACACAGAGTGGGAAAAGGAAACAATCCAAGTCTATCATCATTATAAAAAAAATCATGATAGTTTTATGCTAAATTGAGAAATAGAATACACCAACTATTCATTCATTCAAGCTTTGCCAAACAATAAATCTTGTAAACGTTTAAGAATGCTTAATATTTTTTCGTAAAATTCTACATTCAGGTCATGTATAAATCAAACGACAAGAGTGGCATTGTAAAATGCTGCACATTCCCCCGCAACAATATATTTTATTCTACTTTATGGAGCAAGAAAAAATCTAAAAGAAAAAAAATCTAAAAGAAAAAATAGAACTGGAGTCAAAACTTGACACGGTACTTGTACAAACATGCTTGGTAAAGCAGCTGAGCATTTTTCGTTTTGTGAAGTGGGTGTAAACGGGGCTCCTATTAAGTAAGACTCCCCGCCTGACGTGCTTACACAGTGGGTGCGGCCGCGGCTGTGGCGGCAGCGTGCACGGGGCGCCACGATGGGGAAATGTTAACTACCTCGCCCGGTATACAGGAGGTCGTGGGTTCGATCCCGAACCCGACGCCTGCTGCTGTATATTTGGAGTTTGAATGTTCTCTATCCCCATGGTCGTGCAGACTCTCCGGGTTCTCCGTTTTTTTTTCCCTCCACATTTAGAATCGGCGTGCACTTAAGAGTAATCGGCTGAATCGTTGTACTCAGATTGCAAATGTTGTGGTTTGGCTCTCCAACACACCGGTGTGCTGTGCTCGTGACGAATTGGCAAGTTCTGCTTACGTCACAACCCTTACTAGTTGGCTGTGTCGGGTGGTGGTGGGTTTAAACGACACATTTATATATTTACCCGATCTAACCAACCAAAAAAAACCTCTATCAAGGAAGTATTTGGCTGCTATACATTTCCACGTGCCAGGTCACTTCATTGAGCTATCATTTGTGGCCAGGTCGCTTCTGAATATTAGCTGTATAGCTCAGTGGGTCTTCTCTTGTAGAATAGAAAATATAGTTTCAATAGTTTAGTTTAGGATTAGGCGCAGGAAAGCTTCACGTTTGTGCGACGGCGGTGAGAGCCACGTGTGCACTACTCTTTGGCACTGTCTGTTGACAAATGGAATCGCTCGCAGACAGAGAGAGAGAGAGAATGGGAATTGTTCTACCGTATCAAGAAACATGGGCACAGATGTATTAAACAAGTAAACAAGTTAAATGCCGTTGTAATGGTCAGGCCTGTAATTATGTGGGCTATCCAAATCCTCGGTGTGACAATGTTATTTATTTTATTTAAGTTTAGTCACCCAGGAATGCCTCCTCACCGAGTCACAGGACTGTTTTTCAGGGTTGTTCTGCCAAAGACTTTGCAGTCGGGGGCCGATGCTGCGATGTGAAAATCCCAGTTGAGTGATGAAGCATTGGGGTGTTTTGCCAATACCGATTAAATTTAAGATTATGTTCTGTTTAACACCAATATTATTCACTAGAAGTGTTTTTTAGAGTTTGAGCGCATAAATATAAATGTGTCGTTAAACCCGTGGGCACCCGACACAGCCAATTAGTAAGGTTTGTCACGTAAATAAAACGTGCCAATTAGTTACAATTTCAGCACACCAGCGTGTTGGAGAGTAAACTGACAACATTTACAATTCGATTACGACGTTTCACCAGTAATTACAACCAGCCTCATCAGGCGACAGCCAGATTTCTGGATGTGGCATGTTTTGTTTACGTGACAAACCTTACTAATTGGCTGTGTCTGGTGGTGCCGGGCTGAATGACACTTTTACATTTCCGCGATGGAATTAAAAAAAATCCTATTATAGATGTTCTCTCTTATTTCTATTTCACATTCCAGTGCGTCGTAGTGCCTCTAAGTGGCTGCAGGGGTCACGTGAACTAATCAAGTACAACGTATACGAATTGAAGAAGTCAATTGTTAACATGCGGGATTTAATGTATTGTCAAAATTAGAATCGATGATCAATAAATGCATCTGGACTTAAAGCTTTCGTGACTGCAGGAATTCATATTCTTTGGGTCTTTCGGGAAAATTCACGAAGATAGGTTCAAAGAAACTAACCTATCCACGTGAATTTACCGATGGACCCAAAGAATAAAAAAATGCATCGTTACACCACAATGAGCAATAATAATATCAGATTGTTTACACACTATATGGCTATGCTGGCTGGCACTGTGGTCAGAATGCACTCATCACAATCTGAATTTTGCAAGTTCAAATACTGATCAGGAGTTGACTCAACCCGTCATCTTTCCAACACGAACAAAAAACGTACAATTTAGTAGGATGTCAAGGATGGTCATCATAAGTACATACTTGGGCCTTTCCACAGGAAAGTGGTATTCCACCATTGGCTCAGAACTATTAAGAGAGATGAACACTGCCCTAATGTCCGATTGTACGTGAGAAAATTTTGACGGTGTCACTCTAGGGATGCTTTCTTTATTTAAATCCCGATGAAGGTGTAATTCCCTTTCAAAAGGAGGGGAATATTAACGACTGCGTCGGTTTTCGCGGTAGTGCTGTACAGATCTCCAGTGTCTTTTTGGGTCGTAGCACGTGTTATTCCGAGTGACGTCTTGACTTTTCGCTCCACGTGCTGGGACATTTTTCAGGAACCGAACATTCACAGAAGCTCATGGTACGTGCAGCGAAACTTCTGACAAACATGCCGAACAACACCCCAAAAAACGCATTGGAGAGGGGGGGGGGGGGATGTTCTTCCGTTAAAGTGTGGAGAAGGTGATTCAACGTTCCGCCCACCAGCCCCTACACAACACGGATGGCCGTGCGTAAAACTAGGACAGCGCACTTAGCGAGGCGGTGGCGTTCGGTCGGTATTGAGGGGGAGGGGGGGTGGTCAGGTCATCGTCTTCTGTGTACACTTGGGTGCCGGAATGCACATCATCGCGCCACGCAGTAGCGCACACACGCAAGCGCGTGTGTGTGTGTGTGTCCATGCGTGTGTGCGTGCGTGCGTGTGTGTGTGTGTGCGCAACTTCCACCCGGCAACCCAGGCTTAAAATACTCTCCACCACTCACATTCAAGTACCCAACGTGAATGTGCGATGTTTGCACTCGATCAATTTTGGTCAAGTATTTTTTTCTCTCTTCCCAAGTCCAAGAATCAACTTTTGGCAATGTGCCACCTCACTGCATTCGGCGCTTTCCCACAGCCATGCTTGTGCTTGATGCTGGCTTTCCGAGTATAGGGCAAACATACATCGAACACTAAAGATTGTAAAAAGGCGGCCAGAGTCTGCTTTCTAATTCTCGGGCACTCACATTGAACTCTAAAGATTGTGTAGTAGGTGGCTTAAGTTCGGCTCTAGGAGCCTCGGGCATTAACGCCGAAGCCTACGAATCCCTAAAGTGTCAGTCTGGCTCCCTGTGCACCCTTGTGCATTATCAGTCAACACCAAGAGTTATAAAGATGCCGTCTGGCTCTCTGAGCCTTGGGGTATTAACGGTGAACCCTGAGAAGCATGTGGATGGCTTAGTCTGGCTTGCCGAGCCCCCGTGGATGAACGCTGCATTAACTCTGAATTAATCTGGCTCTCTGGGTATTATTGCATCACGTGTATGTGGTGACCTGCTCTGTGCTACGAGCCTGATGACTCGAGTTCGATTCCCGCTCATGGCCAACACCAGTGACGAGTATCTAAACCGGTCTTGGGCCTCTCCTGCGTCGACTCAGCCTCAAATGAGTACCTGGTGCGGTGTGTAAACATTGCCACTGGGAAGACAAAGGCGATCGGGCGTGGTGCTGGCCACCCACCCCCTTAGTGCGCCGTGCCGGCCTTCATAGTTGTTGGCTAACAGCACTTGCCCCAACAGTCTGTTAAGGCTACACGGGGTATCTTTGTCTTTGTTTTGACCTTCTCATATCCTCGTTTACGTGCACAATCTAAACATGAAACAATTATACAAACAAAAGAGTTGTAAATATTATGAACTGGAAGTCGTGACGGGCATTCAATACGTGGCGTCGCAATAGCCTACATGCCTGCTGACTTTCCCGCAACAGGCACACAACTTATTCAAAGACATGCGCAGACAAGACAAGCGCGCAGCTTTAGAGACTGTTGGGGCAGTTTGTGAGCACCTATGAAGGACAGAATGGCATGCGTGGCAGTGGTGTTTCTACGCATCGTGAGTACAGAATGAACGCATCAAGGATTATGATCCAGTGTCTCTTTTAAAACATTTTGCAAAATATAACATCGATGTCAACATCAGCAGGCACGATCAATCCACTGCTGGATGAAGGCCTCCCATTAAGCCTTTGCCATCTCTAATGATCCTGCAATGTAATGAACTAACATTAAAAAAACAATTTTACAAGGTAATTTGCACACACCATTAATAATGTACCGGTTTTCAAAGACTTTATTTGAGTATTATTACTTTATCAGAAAATTATCAATTTAACATTGAATTACTTTAAGGCCTGCTGCATTCTTGAGAGTGATTTTATTACGTCTTGGGGCCAAACATTTTTCTGTAAGAACGTGCCTCCAATTAATTAATGGAAGTCCATGGGAAACACAGAGCTCCATAAATGGAATTTTAATTCATGGACAACTTTTCAGGAACGTATCGGTTCCGTATATCAAGAAATGCCAGTATTACTTTCTTCCTAAAATATGCTCAGTTTTAAAAAGAGCAACATCAAATTAAGCCAGTTAAGAGTTATATAAAATGTACTTCGGATTTATACTGCTAGAGACATCATTCAAAATTGCAGACACAATCCAGAACCTCAACTACCTAATGTGGGTTCTCCACAACCATTAAATCTATCGCGGTTTAAGAAACACGTGACACATTGACATCTGCAGGGACAGACACACTGCACGGACAGACTCGCGGTGATAAAAGCCCTCCAGCAATTCTTGTAAAGGGATTGGAAAAAATATATTATAAAAACATTGTATAAGTTGCGTGTGTGTAATTCTTTACATATGTGCAGCTTCATAATGCCTCCAAAATCCATTGTGAGTTTCAGCTTTAACGAAGAAATTTTATTATGTTAAGCTGTATATAACGACGCATATAGCTTATATCGATTCTTAATTATGCACGATAAATGCATTGCATCCCATGTGTATGAATCAATGTTTTTCCACTCGTGTACATTCTACGTAATGGATGGGTGGTGGTGGAGGGTGGTTGCGTAGTTGAAGCATCTCTCTAATAGCCTCTCAAATTTAATGTACAGACACCTGTACATACATTTGGTCCCAGAGGATCCTGTCCTACATCATTTTGATGTACCCCCCAACAATGGAAGCAGTCATGAAAGCAATCGGCTCCTCAAAACTGTGGAAAGGGGCTGATCCTGCTAGCTTATTTCCCATGCTTGTACACAGTTGTATTTACTCCAATTAGTGTCCCATCAGTATATTCTGTACATCCCATCGACAACTTCATAAAAGCCTCAGAATCTCACGTTGGTCATTGGGGTTATCTTAACCATACTTCACCAGATTGATCAGTGTATGGGTTGGTGACATGGGATGTTCAGAACCAGTTCAGATATCTCCTCGCCGCATCTTTCCCGTAACCGGGAATCGAATTCTGATGGACCGTTTTATAATGCTGTGCACCAACCACTGCATCATTTTAATGAACTAAAAATACTTTATATTCTTAGTTTTTTCGGTAAAGTCACGTTGAAGAGAAACAACAAAATAACAAAATATATATAAAACAATAAAAAATTCTCACGACGTTTCGACCATAACTCAAACGGTCATCATCAGGTGTGTCGGTTTGCATAAATTTATTTTTAAACGTGACTTTACCGAAAAAACTAAGAATATGAATTACTGCAGTCACGAAAGCTTTAAATCAAAATTTAAAAATACTTTATTCTCAGAAGACCCATAATTCAATGCATGCATCGTGAGTGTAATAATCGATCTCAATCGTTGAATCAATGCTTCGTTGCATGCCTTCCACCTCGGTAATGACACTGTTGGGCATTACCGGACGTGAGACGTTGGGCATAAGGTGGAGATTAAAGACCCCGGAATATTGTTCGCAAGAGAGGACCATCATGTAACCATCTGCCTGCCAGCCAAGAGACGGACCGATATAATAATAGTAAATTATTGTCCAAAGACATAGGGCAAACATTGCAACACAATGCACAGTGCGGCTCGGCAATAGAACGGTTAATTGAAAAGGTGTGCATAGCGTGCGCGCAAGTAGCGTTTAAGCACGAAAGGAAAACACCGTCAAGATGGAAAAGGAACTCACGCAGTGGGTGGCTGTGATGGTAACTGAACTGGAAATGAAGGTCAGGCCATCGTTCATGCTCACTTGGAGGAAAACCTGCCTGGAGGGGAAAAAAAATCAACAGACAGAAGACAATTAGGTACTTAGAAAACAGCGACAGATTATTATTTTTCCGTCACTCAATTAAATAAAGAAAAAAATTACATTTCAGTGTTTACCATTTACGAACCCACCTGTGCGGTATTCTACCGAGGGGAGAAAAATAAATCCATTTCAGGTTATTCAATTGTGGCAGGAGTTAATTTGTTTCTCTTGAATGGGAATACCTAGAATCAGGGAGGGGATTTTTTCGGCTAAAAAGTCTTGCATGTTGGTACAGACAACAAAGGCCCTATCTCTAAGAAAGCTGATAAGGCTTGTACTCCAATTCTCTGTAATAACACAGACCAAAAGTTCTACCATGGCTGCTTTGCTGAATGCTTCCCATAATCCTCACTATTGTTACATTTTATTCCGCGCTCTCTTTGCAGTTATGTCACAACATCACACTCAAGGGATTACACGTTTGATAGGATACCTTTACATTGGCAGAAGTTGAGTATAAGCACACCCCAATTGGGAGCAGGTCCATGGTATGAGTGCCCTTCGTATTTGCCCCAACCAGTGTAACATAGCCATATGTTGCTTTTATCAGAAAAACCTATTCATCAAAACTGCTTTTAAATTATTTAAATATTAAGACGACGTTTCAGGTAATGCCCCTTCTGAAATCTGACAAACGTCACCGATTATACAAAAAATATATATTTTAAGGCCACAGTGTTGTTGACGAGTGTCACGTTTTTTGTTCATTCTTCTTGTGCACGGAGCAGCAGCAGAAGCGTCAAATAGTTTGCGTTCGTGTAAGATGCCCTTATATTGAGCTCCTAACTGCACTGCGGAAATTCTGCTCGCAAAGAATGGCCATTTTTTACGGTCATTGACAAAATGTTCAGGATCAAGTCATGAGTTACGGTTTGAATACATGGATACGTGGTACGGCAATATACATGAACTTAACGTTTATAGAAGGCAGGTGCAAGGATGGAATCGGGAATTTTTTATGTCACAGGGACAGATTGTTCCTTTTTTTCTCCCTCTCGGTGACAGAGTCAGTTATTATGTTAACTTTTAAATTAACTGTCATTTACCATGCAAGACTGCGAATAGAGCAAAACAATTGAACATTATGATTTGACTAAAGGTACGCCTTCACATAGTTGATAAAACACCAATTGCACACATTGTTCATTATGAAAATACATCTGGCAGCGTACAAAAGCAGGCTAAAACCCCTCTAGAGCTCTCTCTCTCTCTCGTAGAGGCCCCTTTTGCTAACAATTGCAGGGCTGCACATGCACATCTTCTGATAAGAACAGCAGCTCTCTGAGATTCACATTCAGGACACGCAACCTCTCGGTGTGTGTTTTTTTTATTTTCAGGTCACAAGCGAGCCACCTGCGGACCCGCGAGGCCTCTCGCAGCTGCACTGGCTCACAGGCGCAACACGTTCCACCGGGTTATTGTCGCGGGGCCATTCGCGGAAAGTTTGCCTTGCGTGTTACTTAGCAAACACAGCGGAGCCGTCAGCTCACGACGCCGGACAGAGTTGCACAAAGGACCACTCACTCTCCGGTATCTTGCAAGGTCGGCGCGGGACACAAGAGGTAGCTGTCTTGTAGCTCCAGGGGCTTTTCCGCTGGAAAGAGAGGACGAGAAGAGGAGGGACACCATAGACGTCCACTCGAAACTCCCTCGGGCATGCTGTTTTTGTTGGTGCAGGCAACGGTGCTCGAATAAACATACGGTGGTGCCGAGCGGCAATGCGCTGCGAGCCTGGCAAGGTGCGTTCATTCTCCCCCCACCCCCCCCCCCCCCCCGTAATCTCCTTCTTTAGAAACCCGCGCAGATGACCAGCGTGGTGAAGTATGGTCAAAAAGGCCCACCAGGACCGAAACACGTGGGGGGAGGCCAAATTTAATACCGCGACCAAAGTTATGATTCATAATAGATATTTTGTTGGGTCAGATAGCGCCATTGAAATGTGTGTCATACACCATGCCTGATGATGCTGGTTGCAATTACCAGAAAAACGTCAAACGACCAAATTGTTAAATGTGTGTGGATCATTCAACATTGCCGGTGTGCTGAAGCGGCAGTAGCCAAGAGACACATGTATTAAATGGCCGTCTCGGATGGAGGAGGGTTGAACAACACACATTTGAATTATGCGATCCGATCCGACCCAAAAGTCCATTATGAATCATTGGGGAGGCCATTGATCAACAATGAATGGAAATAATTTCATTGGCTGTCGAGGAAAAATGAAGTATTGTAGGGTTCGGGTACGAGGTGGTCAAGACATGGCAGTGGAGAGAAGGATCCTTGAATCGGTGTGTGAAGAGCTTTGAAAATTGCTGTACGTATGTTGAACTTCTTTCCCACCGTACGTAGCCAACCATGCTAATCGGAGCAGTGTGGGTTTTCTCCGAGTACTTTCCGGCTTCCTCCACCATTCTAAATACTCGCGAATGATATTGGTCAACCATCGTGATTGTAGGAACCTCGTCACAATGATGACGCACACGGAGAACACCAAGAACACCAAGTGCTTTATAAATCAACCGGGGAACGGGAGTGCTGTTAACCAGGCACCCTGCAAAAGGTCGCTGCGTCACACACGGGGGCAGTGTGGCCAGCACCACACCTGGCCCCCCTATATCTACCCCGGTGATCGCATTCAAACATCACGCCAGGTACATTATTGCATAAAAGTGTTTCAACCTAGGCGAGGGCCCAAGATAATCCACAATAGATTTTTTTTTCGGTTAGATCGCATAAATACAAACGTGTCGTAAACGTGACAAACCTTACTAATTGGCTGTGTCGGGTGGTGGCGGGTTTCACGACGCATTTATATTTACGCGATCTAACCCAAAAAAAAAACACCTCTATTGTGAATATTGGTCGCGAAAACCGATGTGTTAAACTGGTCCCAGATAAGCTGGGATACCACGTGTCAAGGATAAGTTGGGATACCACGTGTCAAGGCTGGGAATCGATTTAGGATCGCTGGGGTCAGAACACAGCGCGCTGACCACTATACTTCCACTACAAGGCCGAGAGTACCCACTCTTTACCCCGCCACACATGATCTGCAAAATCAACTGACTGTGGCATATCCATTTATGCTGATGGGTGGACAGAGGTGGGTGGGGTGTTTAAGAAACTTACACCGTTGTTTTCAACTGCGGTACCAGGAGATAGAACCCGGCGACCTCTGAATTGCAAGTCCAGTGTGCTGCTGACCGTCACAGCACGTCAGCATCCCCCGTCTTATGCGATGCGACCAAAATCCATTACAGTTGTACACAGTTGGGAAAAAAAAAGGTTCGGCCAATTTCAGTTGTATGAATTTAGAAACGCGCGTTTTAGAGTAATTGGCTGCTATACATTTCCACGTGATAAGTAACTTTGTTGGGCTACCATTGTGGCCAGGTCACGTCTGAAAAAGAGCCATAAAAGTTTAGTTTTATTTTAAGAGAATGAATGCAAAGTTCAGTCAGCCTTCTAACATGGATGTGTAAGTGTACAAATTAATATTTTTTTCCTTGCCTGGCAAATTATCGAATAATAAGTTCCATAAAGCAATGCGTTTGATGAAATGTGAATTGCTTTTATTAAAAAAAAGTGTAAAATTTTGTGACATCATCGTTTCCAAAGCAAAGACTCAGGGTTCAAATAAGAACGTACTGAAATGCGCACACAAACTAAAAATACTACTTTCTGTTAAACATTGTCATGGGATACACTGCAGGATGTCCTGTCAAATGCAGGCAACGCCAGCATTTCAAAACACAATGCATCTCTCCGATGTGTTTTGTCGTGTTACACCGCTGTGTCATTCGGCACGATGCCCTGTATTTAACCCTCCGCGTGCCGGAAATGCAGCCTCCGAAGAAGCCTCCCGGCACGCGCAGCCAAACGTTGGGGACGTCAATGCCGAACGACGCGCGGTACCACCCCACGAAAGAACCACCGTCCGAGGGCGACACCGCTACAACCGCGATAGCCTGCGCGGCGGCGTTAAGTTCGGTTTTGGGCGATTTTAGCTTCCAAGCAAATTCCGCCGTGCGCTCGCGTGCCAAAACGCTCTGCGGCGAGGGCACGAGCGTGAGAAGTCGGCGGTGCCGAATAAGTCAAGAGCCGGCGCTTGGAGCTTTGCGGGTGGCGGCAGTGGGGGCAAGCTCAATCGTATCCCGAGCCGGGAGAAAACAAACACGTGGTTGCTCCTTGCCAACTCGACACTGCTGCAGCTTTCCCAAGTCACCACCTCGGCCACTTTCCCAGCCACTGTTCCCCCCCCCCTCCCCACCCCCCCCCCCCCCCCATTTTAAGCTTACGCATTGGGCCGTTTTTTTTTTGTCAACTCTTTTTCACACGTTGCAGAATGAGGCAACGGCCGTGCCGGGGCCGCGAAGACAAGCCTCCGTTTGTGCGTCTGTTGGCAGCGACTCGGCGTTCGGTTCATCTGGGTTCTGGTCGCGGAGCCGGCTTCCCTCAGCCCCCTCGGGAATTTATCCGCGACGCGTCGGGCAGGCGCGTTAGAAGCCCGGCGGCGTCTGCAGAGCGGAGCGGCCGTCGCCCCCGGGGCTAATTTGTGCGAGCGGCTCCCTTTGTGGGCGAGAACAATTCCCCGCCGCGCAGCAATCGCGGGCCCTTAAATCCTCGCGACACGCATTCGCATCATCGCCTTAGTTTTGCCTGCCCGAAGCCAAGGCATTTACACTTAATTCGGCGAAGACCGAATGCCCTTTTCATCACATCGTTGTTAGTTTGGGCGGTTAATAGGGTTCCCTGATTTACCTCACTGCAAAAGCTTCCGAGAGGATTCAGAAGCGCAAAAGCCTCGGGACAAATGAACGCATTACGAAACGTCAAAACAGCGCCGGGACATTTTTAAAGTTGCTACGTGTGGGCGGGCGTGTGTGTCTCTTAAAGGACATTATTAAACACTACTTCTTTTCATTCCCCCCCCCGCCCCCTCCCCGTGGTTATATAACGTGCAGCGTGGAAAAAAATCGACCAAATACCCTCTATCAGGCATCCCTAGACATCCACCTAGATAAGCAGCCTCAGGTGAAGCTCACTGCCGAGACAAAACACGCGATTTTTCTAAATGACCACCGGCTGACAGGCATAACATGAAAGCTCTTTCTGCTGCCTCCACATGCTTACTAATTCACTCTCCTACTCCGTCCGCCTTCTCCCTAAACTCGGACCCAATTATCTCCAGGACACAACAACAATTAAAGCCCCCTTCTGCCCTCGCTGTACAGCGCTAAAGAGAAAAGAAGCCCCCTGCTGCTGCTGCTGTTGTTTCATTCCTTCCCTCCCCCGGGGTGGGCCAGCCAGGCGCAAACATCGGAGCGGCGCTTCACCTTTGACCTCTCGACGAGCGAAGCGATTCTCTTGTCCCCTCGGCTACGCTTCACGTAAACGCGCAGCGCGGGGGTGTCTCTCGGGTGAGGTGCTTGCGGAATATCTGCCGCGCGCGACGGTTTGCGTCCCGGGCACACACAGCGCACCCGAGGTATTGGGAAAACGTCGAGGGCCATCCCACTGTGCGCCGGGCACACGGCACGACCCGAAAGCACATCGGAAAATACATCATTTGGTTACGTATTACGCCACCATGAAAATAATTGTAACAATTTAAACTTGGAGCGCACCGGGCAGTATTGCGCTCACCTCTCCCCGCGGAGGGAACGACTCACTAGCTGCGCGAGGAGGAACACCGCAGACAAACCGGAAGGCGCCAACAATTGCCCAAGATTCGTGGTCCTCATATTAGACAAATTATGGTGCTATCGGCCAATGATACACAATGTGTGGATAAATAGCTGAAGCCACAACAATGACAGCTATGAACTCGTAGTTTTATCACTTCCGAGACTACGGTGCGTGGGCATTTCACTTGAGTACAAAGTGCAGTGAAGTTTATTTGTTGAACCGGGTGAGAACTCACCACTTGGATAAAACTGGCCCCTCAGGTTAACCGGGTCAAGCTCACCTCTCCCATGTGCTTTGGGTTGTAACCGCCTGTTGTTCGGCACGATGTCCGATATTTTATTCAAATTCGTTCTGTTTGAAGCTTCTTCAGCAATAAACACAAGGCACAACCATGAAGTTCAGCTCCTTAGGAAGCTGCTGCAACTTGGAAGCAAAACGTCGGACACCGTGCCAAACACCATGCCGCGCATCCCAAAAACACTCGGGAGAACGGCACTGCACAAACACCCGAAAACCTACGCAGCAGCGAGAGCCGAACTCCGCGCTACCTCGGGCTCAGCCAATGACAAGAGCTGCAAGAGTGGGCAGAGAGTTGAACGGATGCTCAAAATGCATTCGTGTTTTCCGACGACGACCGTCGCTAGGAGAGAACTGTGGTGACCGTTGATCCCGCCGCACGTGTCCTTGCGCAAAGAGAGGATGCGGTTTTAGGGTTACGTGAGCGTGGCTGCGGTGCTCCGGTCAACGATCAGGTGGCGCCCACTTACTGATGGTGACGGAGTCGTTAATCTTGAAGCTGCACAGGACCTGCTCCGTGTTCCTCGAATGGGAAAATCCATTGCCCCTGACGACCACTTGGAACGACTCTGGGAAGGGCGGCAGAGACGGGCGCACACTTGAGAATGCATCATCACACATGAACTGCAACACTTCGCTTATCTCGTCAAGGAGCACAAACCACCACTCGAACTCCGGTCATCCTCCCTCGCCGCAGCGGGCCTTCGGCCAGCCATTGAACAGAGACGGTGTATACATCGCGCGCTTTCAGATGCGCTTCTGCGGCCGTCTGGGACGCTCTTCCTTCCAATATTAGGAAACCACTGGAGCTATGCACTTTTAAATCTAAATTGAAAACTCATTTCTTGAGAACTGCTTTTCACGTAAAGTTTTTTGTCTTTCCCCCGGACCTCTGTTTAGCTCAGTTGGTTATGTATGGTGAGAATGAAGTTCAACATACACCTGCATTGGGAACAGGGCGAGGCTGAGCTCACAGTGACAGAGCAATCATGTATTTGCCCTCTAGTCATTTATAAACAATGCCCAGCAAGGCCTTGCCGAGCCTCAAGACACATTTTAACGAGGGCATTGCATCATTAGGATGCTTGGCCAACTGGAGTGAACGGAGAAAACTCCCACAAGTACTAAAAACACCGCCACAGATAGATTCAGGAATCCTTTTGCTGTACCGTCATCTCCTGGCCACCTCGCAGCTCAGGCCTATCACACATGGCAGTCACAGGGCAGCCGAGTAAAATTAACTCCAGCCGCAGGTGAAACTGCCGGATGATGAAGGCCTCCCCATGATGTTTAGATACTGGGAGGCTTTTTGACCACGCCTCACCGTGCTAGCCAGCGCAGCTCGGTGAAGTTGGGGGAAGGTAGGGGGCACGGGGGACCGGTTCGGAGAGATATCAATCGCCACTGACGTTAGCCACGGTCAGCAATGGAACTCGGGTTGCTGGGTTCACAGCAGCGCTGTTTGCAAATCGTACGTAGCCTCGCGTCGAGAGGTGCGCGACACGTAAACAAATACCAACGCACAAATCATACGTACAGTTTATTTTTTTTTTAAGCACCCACTGGAATGCACGAAGACTATAAATGTCGCTTCAAGACAATTTCTATGGATTGCACGTGGCAAGGCTGAGTGCAGGGTGTGTTTTACAGGTGTTTAGGGTTACGAAATCGTAGCTGGGTGAGATACTTCTGAGGAGAACGTTTTCATTTTTAGAAATGTTCCAAAGTAATTGCACTTTTATGCCACAATATTATTTATTAGTATTTTAAACTTTAAAAAAGATAAAACCTAAATCTGCACTCCGTTCTGTTTTAATAACATTTTGCTGGTTGTGCAACCGCATAATCCGGCTCTTTAGAATGAGGGCGTTTGTGAATCACGCAGGGATTTACGGGTGCTGTGAGACACAAAGCCCTCATCCAGCAGTGGATTGACAATAAACTATACATGCACATATGTGAGACTCACAGGTCACAGTTCAACGATGTGGAAACGGGTTAGCAGTACACCAAGTAGGTTTCCGACCTGTCAGATGTTTGAGTGCGCTTCCCTCATATGGTAACTCTTACTTTTTCTTCTTTGGTTCTTTCGGTCAAGTCACGTAGAATGAGAATAAAATAATAAAATAAAATAAGACAATAAAATTCTCACGACGTTTCGGCCACAACACAAGTAGCCTTCTTCAGGTGAAAGAACAGAACTGTCGGGACGACAGAGCTTCAATTTTATTTTATTCTCATTCTACGTGACTTTACCGAAAGAACAAAAGAAGATGAATCCTTGCAGTCACGAAAGCTTTAACTCTTACGTTGTCCAAGAAGAAAAACCGGACTCCTCAAAATGGAATCGGCCAAACATCTCAAAAGCTAGGTTTGACCTTGGCAAGGCATTCGTCTAAAAAAATATAGAGAACTTATGATTACATCGCATTACCAGTTTATTGAGTGCACATAGAAGCACAGGTAAAAAGATATCACTTAAACTGTTAAGAAACGTAAGTGGGGCTCTGTACGTCCATCGAAAGGGTGGAGCAATGAGATCTGCTCGTGTGTAGGTGCTCGATGGATTGTTACATCGCAGGATTGTAACAAAAAAAACGGCACGGGGAGACCTTAATCCAGCAGAAGGCTTAAAAAACGAAAACTATTAAACAATTTTTATTTTTACCAGGTAAGGCTCACTGAGCTATATTGCTCTTTTTCAGAGCAGACCTGGCTATTACAAATTATAGCTAAACAAAGTGGCTTAGCAAGTGGAAATGTATAGCAACCAAATCCTCTTAAACGCATGATTCCAAATGTGAAGGGAAAAGCCGGAGGACTGAGAAAAAATAATGCGACTTCGGTGAGAGAGACATGCAAACTCCAAATATACAGGCGGGATCGAACCCACAACCTCCTGCACACCAGGAGAGGTAGTTAACATCTCACCACCGTGGCACTTCAATGACTGATCATGGCCGACGTGCAAAAATTCACAAGACTTGCATGTAACAAAAGTTGGATCTTTCAAAGCTGAGTGTGCATGTGTGGGTAAGCTAATGCAGCTGACCACTTGATGCAATGCAGGGAGGTAGAGGCATGTGCTCAAAGTCTCTACGCTCTCTCATAGCATGAATCAGAGCACAAAACAGCTGTGCACTGGCTCCATCTTCAATCAATTCCAAGCTACGCAGCAGGGCTATAAGCTGTCTGCGGTCACCTTAAGTCTCCCTGTTATTGCACGTCCGTGTGTTTCCCAACACTCGCCATTTAAGGAGCTCACATTTTACACAGTTGTTTTTTGGTAAATGAGTACACGAAGCAATGGCACAGCACAAAACGCACGTAACTGTATTTGTACGGACGCGCCACTTATAAGCGTTGATGGCCGATTGCCGAGACTGATGACAGAATGGCAGCCAAAGGAGGGAACGAGGCCCGAGTGGAAGACCACCGTGGAGATGAAGCGATGAGATCACCCCAGGGTTCGGTGGGGGGGGGGGGTGAGTTCTGCCCCTAAGACAAAGATCCCACACCTCCCCTACACAGACCGTTGGGGAAAAATGGTGTCAACAGGCATCTATGTCAGGGGTGGGGAACGTCTGGCCCGTGGGCCGTATAGGGCCCACAAAATCATTTGGGTCTGGCCCTGCCAAGGCAACCGCAGGCGGGATTCGAAATTCAATAAATCTAGGAGCAAACCTGGAAAAGCAGTTGCGAGTAGTAGCAACATCGTCAATACCAGCTAACATCATCACACACCTCGCCAAAGAGAAGCAGTTCCAGCCATCACATTAGTGGTGAGTAAATTTAATGTTTGATCAAATATAACAGTCTAAATTTTAAGTTGATAATTCTGTATGGCCCGCGAATGATGTAATAAATATCCAAATGGCCCTTGGCAGAAAAAAAGGTTCCCCGCCCCTGATCTATGTGAAGGCCGGAACGGCATGTGAGAGAGGTTGTGGTGTGGCCGGCGTGGTGGGGGGGGCTCCTTGCCTGGCCGCCTTTGTCTGCCCAATGCTGATGGTTTATACATCGCACCGGTTGCTCACTCAGGCTGATTTGACTGGACCGCAGGGAGGCCCAGGGACCGGCTCAGATACCACTCGCCGCTTGCCATGGCCGGAAATGAAACTCAGGCCGCAGGGCTCATATCGCAGCGGTGCGGGAACCTCTGTGCCACTGCTCCACCTACAAAGGCAAAGATCCCCCATATAGCCTTAACCTACTTTTGGGGCAAGTGCTGTTAACGGGCACCAACGAAGGCCGGCACGGTACACAAGGGGTCGAGTGGCCAGCACCACGCCTGGCGGCCTTTGTCTCCCTCTTGACGATGTTTACACTCTGCGCTAGGCTGAGTCGATTTAGGGGAGGCCCAGGATCGGTTTAGATCGTCACTGGTTATGGCTACGAGGGGTAATCGAACTCGGCCCGCCGGGTTCATAGCGCATCGCACTACTACGCTCCTGGCTCCCCATACCCTTACTAAGTTGTTGTTTGTTTGTTGTTGTTGTGTATGTTATTGTTGTCCTTCCCCACACCTCCGATTCGCACGGTTGGCTCCGTACGGTGTGAAAGAAGTTCAACATACATACATACAACAGCGGAAGCATACATAATGACAGACGCACGAGAGTACAGTAGACAACACATGACACAGAGCGAAGACGTTCTAATGTTTAACTCTGTAGGAGTGGGGGGGGGGGAGTGATGACGACTTCAAAACTGTCCAACGAAGACGTCACCGTTCCTTATATTTATCCCGGCGCTCCGCACCAAGCTCTCCACTGTGTACACCGACACGCATGTTGATCCAGGTGGCCCAAACCAAGACCATTAGCACGCTCTCTCTCCCCCCCTCTCTCCTCCGTCCAAACGCAACAGCAACCCGGCGCTGGCGCGAGAGGGCCACGGGGCCAGCGTTAGCCAAGGGCCGAGCGCCTCCGGCGTTCAGGAACCGATTTCTCTGCGCCATGCACCGCGGCCGCTCGACTGAACGCGACCGTCACACGCACCCCCACCCCCCCCACCCCGTCCGCCTCCAGGTTCCATCTGCGAGCCTGGGTAACCAACCCGGGGGTTTAAAACAGAGTCCGGCTTTGCACGGGGACAAGGGCAATCCAATTTCTGCTGCCATCATCAGGCAACTTTGCTGCGGGAGGAGGAGGGGAATTACCGCAGATGAGGCACACGCTGCCGAACGAGCCCAGGCGTGTAAACCATCAGTGCCCCCATATTTAACCAGACGAGAACCCCACCCCCCACCTCCAGGGTTAATATACTCTGTGTAAGGATTTTCAGTAAGAAGGCTCATTTAGCAGAGGTTCTTTTTTTTATGGTAATCATTTTCAGCAGCAGTTCTGCAAAAGGTTTGGTTCCTGCCACAGGAATATGGAATTTCCTCCCACTTGGCTCAGAACCACCAATAAAAAAGAGCACCGTCCTTGGCAGATGTCAATGTAACAAACAATGAACTAACATCGGTGGTTTAGAAAGCAGCAGCAACAGGACCATGAGGTAAACATACAGCAGTCATTCCTGTTGGGAATTCAGAGGACAGCTACTGCTGTCTTGTGCCGTGCTA